TCTCTCTCTCTCTCGCTCTCTTTCTGTTTCTCCTCTCTCTCCACACTTTCCAACTCTCTCTTTCTCTGTCTCTCCACTCTCTCTCTTTCTCTGCACTGTCTTTTCCCCTCTCTCTCGCTCCCTTTCTGTCTCTCCACTCTCTCTCATCTCCCCTCTCTCTCTCCCTCTCCCTTTTTTTGTCTCTCTCTCTCGCCCCTCTCTTTCTCTCTCTTGTTTTTGGCTCTGTCTCTTCTCCTTCCTCTCTGAATCTTTTTGAGTCCTTGATATTTTCCTCCTTGTCATTTTCCAGGCAGTAAAGCACTCATCTACTTTGTTCGCCTCTGAAAGCTCAGCTTTTTGTTCTCTCTCTCTCTCTCTCTCTCTCTCTCTCTCTCTCTCTCTCTCTCTCTCTCCCTCTCCCTACATTCGCTCACTCTCTCTCAGACAGTCGAGCTCTTTTCTGAAGCATTGAACTCGTCTTAATTAGGGAAGCTGAATGTGCCGGAGAGCATTCGGGATTAAATGTGAACGTGGGAACGATGGGCATTAACTGTGTGTGGATCAGTCCAGTCTGTATGGTGTGTGTGTGTGTGTGTGTGTGTGTGTGTGTGTGTGTGTGTGTGTGTGTGTGTACGTACGCTGTAGGAATGTGTGGAAAAGACACTTCATCAAAAAAAGTTTTACACAGTTTTCTTCTTTAAAACAACTGTTGTCAAACGACATGTTTGCTATTTGTTGTTTTAGTCAGGAGGAGCTACAAGGCTAATGCAGCTAACAAGTAATAAAAGTATATGTACAGCTTTTAGTGCTGTGCATGTCTAAATCATCACCCACTCACCTTGCTGGCCTTACTGCTATATCTATAATCATACAGTTATTATACTGCGCTCCTGATCTGAAACTCCAGCCCTGGTTTTCCTTTATTCACGTCAGCAGTAATATGCCCTCTGAATGATGGTCACACTGGAGTACGGACACTCAGGAAAAAATCCCCCTTAAAGAAAAAACAGAAGGTGCCTAATAAAGCTTTTCAACACACCTCAGGTCAGCTCTGTGATTTAAAGAGGAAGATTTCTGCATAATTACATGGTTAATGTGTCAACAAAATCATGCAGAGTGGTTTGGTATGAAACGTTTTGTTCTAGCTCAGGGGTCGGCAACCCCAATGTTAAGAAGAGCCATTTTATTAAAGTTTCAACAAAATCTAACCACCTTGGGAGCCACAACATTCATGTCCATTTTGCCTTCTTGGCTGTAAATATGTCTCAGTAGGTGCTGATGTACTAGAATAGACTAAAAAATATAATATAAAACAAAAATGTAGACTTACTTTGCTCTGCTTTAAGCTTTAGCTCAGCTATAGCTGCTTTTTCTCGCATCTCCAGCAGGAAACTTTTCCGCAAAAGTAAAATAGTTTCGTGTAAAACGTCTCTCAAATGTTTGATTCTTTACGAGGCTGAAGTCAGTTCGTCATTCTCCAGCTTCTTATTTGAGGCACCAGAATGTAGCTAAATATGTAGCTAACTGTCTCACCATTTAAGGTGGAACAAGAAAATTCGAACAAGAAACTGACCTCAGCTTTGTGACTTTTGTTTGACAGTTTCTCAGTGCAGATTAAACGTATCAGGAAACCAGCTGGAGTGATTATAAACACAAATAAGTCCATTCAGCTCCAAATTATCAACGTTCATCTTAAATTTTTCTCTTTGCATTTTTGTTCTGCTAGCTAGGCGAGATTGTTGTGTTGCTATGGTAACCAACAGTCTGAGCACTAACCTTCAGGGTTAAAGGGTGAATTAGCAGTTCTACATTAACTTCAGAGTTTAAGACCATTTATTGTTAAACTGTGTTGAACGATCAGCAGAGCTTTATTTTACTGTAAAGGAGGATTATTTTATTTTTACCTACAAATCTGATTCTGCTGTGGAGCCACAACAGGGCAGTGAAAGAGCTGCATGCAGCTCCAGGGCCACACGTTGTCGGGCTCTGCTCTAGAGAGACTTAGAGAGTCAGAATTGTTCACAGTGATGATAAGAACCGGACATCTGAGGAGTTAAATGTCTGAAAGCTCCCTCCCCGTTGTTTTATGATAGTTTTGTGATAAAGTTTTGGCCCAAATGTATTTTAGTATGATGTGTTACTCCAGGGTTATTTGTCTTTCCTTTCAAAACTGCATTTTACAACTGATGAACACAAGCTAACATGCTTTTGTTGGTACTAGCCTTCAACACATGATTCAGCACGGCTAACGCCAGGAACGGCTTTTGTTTACAGTTTATTTTTATGATTTTCTTACCTATTTTGGAAGATGGCAGAGTATGAGGAGGACTTCAAGGAGGTCTCTTTCCAAAATGTCGTAGATCCATATCAATCTGAGCCAGAAAACACAAAGGAGTTGCAGAGGTTTAAAGAAGAGAGAGAGAGAGAGAGAGAGAGAGAGAGAGACAGACAGACAGACAGACAGAAGCAGCCAACCCAGAGTGAATGGAAATTGGTGGTGTCAACAACAAACTACTTGCTACTCCGCTGACCAGTTCATGAGGTAGGACTGTGAGGTATAGGTTTGTTTGTTTTTGTTTTTTTTGTGTGTGTGACCCACTTTGGACTTGGAACTGAAACTACAGGTGTGTAAATCTGCGGCTCTGCAGTCAGACCATAGCTCATTATAGGAAGTTATGGCAGATTTAATCCTGAGACTCTTCGTCTCTCAATATAAGTAAATTTGTTCACAAGCGGATCTTGACCTCTCCAACATGGCCGACGCGCAGACGTATCGCCTCACATAGAGAACAACAGGCAACAGGCTCTTTGAATTCTTTCTCGGCTGTATTTTCGCCTGCACAAGACACTGCATGGGCTAGGGGAGTTTCCGTAGGAGCACTCTTTGCGCTGATGAAATCATGTGCATTTTTATGCGTTCGACTCCCGCCGTGCTTTTTTTACCATCTCTTTTTTTGAAATGATTCGCTCCTGTTAAGAAATCCATTTTACTCAGGTCCTCAGTGTCCATGTGAGGCTATTCCTAACCCCAAAAGACTGGCCATTCCTTTAAGTTCGCCACCTCTCAAACAAAGTGGATTAGCTAAATGGGACGATGCTAGTGTGGTTTGCACTGTTTGTACATCACATTATCAGTTAATTTGTGGCTTTTTAGATGAAAGGAATTATTTTTTTTACTGCTTCCAAATAAATTCACTTGTTCACAACTTGAAATGTTGTGAAGTTGCAGCTTTTTTAGATGTATTTGGAGAAAATTTAAATTTTTGAACGAGTTAAGAGGCAAACTAAATTTGATTGTCTAATGTGTAAAGAAGCTGAACTGCTGAAGTGGCCTTATTAGGATGGAAGCAGGATGTGTGTGTGTGTGTGTGTGTGTGTGTGTGTGTCTGTGTGTGTGTGTGTGTGTGTGTGTGTGTGTGTGTGTGTGTGTCTGTGTGTGCGTGCCCTGTCCTTGGCCTTTTGTTCTTCTTAGGTATGTGTGTCTGGCTCTTGGTCTCTCAGTGGGGCGAAGGTGCTGGTGTGTTAAAGGCTATACATTATACTACTTTTAATAAATGCAAAGCTGCACTGGTCAAGGGAACAGCTGACCAGGGCTAAAGCAGACTAGTGTGCTCTACTCTAGGGGTGAGAATTGCTGTAGGCCCCACAATATGATCACGATAATGGAGCCACGATATGATTGAGTGATTTTTTGTGTAGCGCTGTCGCCTCACAGCATGAAGAGCCTGGGTACGATTCCCCAGCCGGGTGACCAGCGTCCTTTCTGTGTGGAGTTTGTATGTTCTCTCTGTCTATGGGGGGTTCCTCCTAAACTGTGGTCAGGTCAATTGGACACACTAAATTAGCCCTAGGTGTGAGATCACACAGTACTACTCTTCCTTTGTTTTGGATGGAAACAAAAGGGTTCTGTTTTTCAGTGGCCAAGAGGGAAAACTGGCCAATCAGGAATTGGTTTCTCTATGGTATCTAGGTACAGAAAGATACAGAACCATGAAGGCTCACAGAACCCTTTGCATGATTAAATGGTTCTGGAACGTTTTCACAGAATGACTGTTTTATATATATATATATGTATGTATGTATATTAAAAGTTGGGACATTGTGCAGAATGTAAATAAAAATGGAATGCAATGATATGCACTGCAATAGACTGGCGACCTGTCTAGGGTGTATCCTGCCTTCTACCCAATGACGGCTGGGATAGGCTCCAGCACCCCACCGCGACCCAGGAGGATAAGCGGTTTGGAGGATGTGTGTGTGTGTGTGTGTGTGTGTGTGTGCAATGATATACAAATCATGTAAACCATATTTTTAAAGGAAAATACTACAAAGACAACATATCAAATGTTGAAACTGAGAAATGTTTTTTGTTTTTTGAAAAATATGTGCCCATGTTGAATTGGTGCCAACAGCATGCTCCAAAAAAGTTGGGACGGGGGCCTGTTTACCTCTGTGTTTCATCACCTTTTCTTTTAACAACACTCTGTAGGCGTTTGGGAACTGAGGAGACACTGCTGTAGTTTAGAAAGTGAAATGTTTTCCCGGTCTTGTTTGATGTAGGATTTCAGCTGCTCATCAGTTCGGGGTCTCCTTTGTCTCATTTTTCATTTCATAATGCCAAATATTATTAATGTTTGATAGATCTGGACTGCAGGCAGGTCAGTTTAGCACCTGGACTCTTTTAATACAGAGCTATGCTGTTGTAATACATGCAGAATGTGGTTTGTCATTGTCTTGCTGAAATAATCAAGACCTTCCCTGAAGAAGACGTTGTCTGGATGGCAGCATATGTTGCCAAAACCTGTATATATCGTTCAGCTTTAATGGGGCCTTCACAGATGTGCACGTCACCCATACCATGTGCACTAATGCCCCCCTATACCATCATAAGTACTGGCTTTTGAAATGTGCACCGATAACAAGCTGAGTGGTCTTGGCATCAAATTCAAAATGGGCAAATATTTTTCAAAAAACAATAAAATTTCTCAGTTTCAACATTTGATATGTTGTCTCTAGGGTTTAAATGATTTGCACATCATCACATCACATTTTGTTTTTATTTACATTTTGGACAGCGTCCCAACATTTTTGGAAATAGAGTTGTATATAAACACTACAGATGTGTTTCTGTGTCAGCAGAAGATTTGAGAGGAGACGTGTAGAAGAGATGGAAATGTGCAGATGATTTTAATAATCATGTTATTGGCCAAATTTTTGCACGAATAGTGTCTTTTTCTGTTAAAACAGTGTTTTCACTCTTCGTTTCTTTTGCTTTTTCTTTATGTATAAAACCTCACATTAACTAAACAAGTAGCGACTGCACACAGGTTTATTTGCAAAAAAATCTGGGGGACGATATCTCAAAACAGTTCTGCACTGAACTGGGCTGAACCCTCGACCTTAACACGCTCAGCCGACGCCCCTGTTTCAATAACATCAGCTTCAACTGCAAAACTGAGGAGAACAGCTGGAGCGGAAATAAACAGGCATGACTCCGCTGCCCTTTCAAGGTGTTATTGCACCTGTTGATGTGATGTTCTTTCATATTTTAGCTTTATATTCTGGTGGGTGTGGACAAATGACTTTTTTCAAAAGGGGAGGAGGACATTGAGGGAAAAGGTCATTTTCCATTGCATTTCATCAGTCGGTCAAGGCCGTTTATTCATTGCCTTGGTAGCTGTTAGTGGACTGAAGTCAAAAGATAAGTTTTGGTGTCGATGCAATGCCAGATATGACGGTGTGGAAAAATTATAGTCGGGTATCAGATCCGCAGCGTGGTGAGCGTCGGAGTGGATATGCTGTCTAGGTTTACCACGCAGGCAGACGCAGTACCAGTCGGTGTGTGCGCTCCAGTCTAAGGGAACACCGTGTTTCAGATAGTGTCTCATTAACAGAGTTGGCAACGAGTCCCTTAACCTTTACCTGCACTCCCTTTGCTATGGCGACGGTCCAGATCACGCACACACACGCACAACTGACCAAAGACCAGTGACGCTCCAGAAAGAGGCCATAACTGTTTGGGGTTACCATCCCACGTCCAGGCCCAGAGGGCAGTTTCTATGTTTTGAGCGGCAAAGCGTTGGGATGGTGATCTGCATTTATATCCAATAGTCTTCATAGCTTACAGCTTAAATGGTGAGTGAGTGAGTGAGTGAGTGAGTGAGTGAGTTTCAAGATTTGATATGTTGTCTGTACTGTTGTCAAGTATATATATAAATCGGGGTCGACAACCCAAATGTTAAGAAGAGCCAAGTTTTGTCAAGTTTCAACAAAAATCAAACCACCTTGGGAGCCACATGTCCATTTTATTGAAGTAACATTTTACCATCTTGGCTGTAAATACGTCTCAGTATGTGCTGATGTACTAGTATAGACTAAAAATATAATATAAACATTATATAAAATTAGCTCAGCTATAGCTGCTTTTCTCGCATCTCCGGCAGGAAACTTTTCCCAAAAGTAGAACTGTTTCTTGTAAAATATCTCTTAACATTTGACTTTTTACGAGGCTAAAGTCGCTTCTCATTCGCCAGCTTCATGTTTGAATTTTCCTGTTCCACCTTGAAAGTACCAGAATGTAGCTAACTATGTAGCTAAATGTTGCATCGTTTAAGGGGGAACATGAAAATTTGAGCAAGAAGTTGGCAAACGCAAAAACTGACTTCAGCTTCATGACTTTTTAGTGTTTGACAGTTTCTCGGTGCAGATTAAACATATCAGGAAACCAGCTGGAGTGATTATAAATGCACATAAGTCCATTCAGCTCCAAATTATCAAAGTTCATCTTAAATCTTTCTCTTTGCCTTTTTGTTAGCTATTAGCTAGGATTGTTAAATAGGGATTGGCTGTGGTTGTTCTAGATAAGGCCACATGGTAAAGTTAAATAGGGACTGACTATGGTTGTTCTAGATAAGGCCACAGGGTAAAGTTAAAAAGGGATTGGCTATGGTTCTAGATAAGGCCACATGGTAAAGTTAAATAGGGATTGACTATGGTTGTTCTAGATAAGGCCACATGGTAAAGTTAAAAAGGGATTGGCTATGGTTGTTCTAGATAAGGCCACATGGTAAAGTTAAATAGGGATTGGCTATGGTTGTTCTAGATAAAGCCACATGGTAAAGGTAAATAGGGATTGACTATGGTTGTTCTAGATAAGGCCACAGGGTAAAGTTAAATAGGGATTGACTGTGTTCTAGATAAGGTTGAAGTGAGGTTACAGTGCAGAAAAAGATTCTACCATTTTTGGCTCTGATGGTTTGGAAGGTTCTGATGATTTTGTCAGGCAGAGTTGTAATAGTGGTAGTTAGAGTAGCTGTAGAGCCAAACCTGACACTAATGTGTGATGAGGCTCCGACTGAGTCCTCACTTATTTCTACTTTCTTCTTTTTTAAACTGTCCATTTTTATAACGGTCAGAACTGTCCATTTAGGTTCGCCTTCTTCTGTTTGTCACTGTTACTTTTCAGTGAAGTAAAAACAAATGCATGCAAAGCTTTGCGTATAGCCACAATAGCTGTTTTCTCTGCTGTTCTCATAAAGGCTGTAACCTGTAAGTGGAAGGATTTTGATGACATTTTTTTAAATAAAATAATTCCTATAAAGTACATTTTGGAAGTCATAGTCCCATTATAATCTCAACTGGTCTACTGGCCAACTATCAGTGACCTGAAGCGACCTAAAACCCCTAATCAATCACCTGAGTCACCTGATCACTAGAAGCATTGGTTAATCTCCTCTGACAAAAGATTCATTTGGGTTTATTTAGCTTCCGCATTAAGCTTTATGCTCATTGGTATCAAGAGCATCACCAGAATAAAGATCGGACTATTGTTAAAAGCTCATATTGAAGACTAAGAAAGTCTTTTGCAAAGCAACAAATAAAATATGATTGTTAAGATTTTTTACAAACATTTTTCAAAAGCTATTGAAACTTTTTATTCTAATAAAATCATTGCTGGTTCTTAGATGTTTCTACACACTGCTAGAAATAAAGGTTCTGTGCAGGTACATCTTTTATCATCAAGGTACAAACAATGGAAATGTTCCCTCAAAGGTACTACAGTGGTTTTAAGGTCTGATTGTGAACCTTAAATAAGTTTTTCCAGGTGAAAAGTTCGTATTTGTATCTTTTCATAACCGAATGTTTTAAAACAGAACAGTAAAATAAAAGCCTGGAGACGAGACGGGGTGTGTGGAGTCAGTACAGCTTAGAACATATCATTTCAGTGGATTATGGATCAGTTATGTTCCCTGACTAAAGGTACTGAGATGGACCCTTGAGGGTCCCACCCCAGTGGCATGATTTGGCTTTGTCCTTATGGACTCCAGGCCATGGACACCTGTACAAATCTGCATTTGTAGAATGACCCCTCATATGGTTGATGAGATTAGTAGCCTCAGATTCAGAGTCTCAGTTATTACACTCTTAAAATTAACAGAGCCATAAAGGTTTCTTTGCAGTGATGCTGTAGAACTGAAAAGCTGTGATTGCTGTGATGTTCAGGCTGGACTTTGTGTTGGACTTTGAGCTTGCTAAGTTGCAGGGTGCAACCGCGCAGGCTACATTTGCTGAAAATATCCCAAATTGGCAGCTCTCAAGCCAAAGTCTTTATGATGGGTGTGTGAGAGTAGATCCCCAGTTATACATGTTATTTTTTGAGACGTAGATTTTTTTGTATGCCAATATTAGTTTTTCTAAGAAAGCAAGAATATTTCCCCCTCAGGTTTACTTTTGAAGAAAGATATCTGGATGAAAAGGTCAAAGACGTAGGTTTGTAGACTCTTGTGTTCTTACCAAAGTATATTAAACCCTGTGCGGCAAATTTGGACTGTCAGAATTATAATTACCTGATTAAGCGACCTGAACAAGATTTTGAACTGCAGTTTTGAATAATGCAGCTGAACACTGAACACATTTGTTTTCTTCAGTCCAGCTCAACAGATTCATTTCAGACAAATAAAGGTATTAATATTATTCATTCTGTATTGACAAGTTTGATTCTGCACTTTTGGCTTTTTCTGTTTGTTTCTCTGTCAAAAATGTAGAAAATATGTAAAACTGTACACACAACAATAACTTCATCAAATGTATATTATAATAGAATATCCTCTTCTGCGTATGGTATGGACTGCAGTATCACTTCTCAAGACAATCTTTTAAATATTAATAAAATAATACTTACTTTTAATACACCTTAAACGTATGTATATATATACTTACATATAATATGTATGATATATATATATATATATAGTCAGATTTTTTTCTTGGTAAATTCAGCCAAGCAAGCTTTCTCATTGGTTAGGACTTCAGTAGCTGGACTAAAGACCAGCACAGTTTGGCAGTTCCCCTAATCAAACACACTGTCTAAACCTGGATGAATAACAAATCAGTTGAATCAGATGTTTTGTGCAGGGAAATCACCAATCTCTGCTGGACACGGGCCATCCAGGACCGGAGCTGTGCACCCCTGCCCCACGCATTAGATTAACTATCAAACTAATTTGGCACTGAAGGACAGAGGAATCAACCAATCCTGTTTTGAGTTACAGTGGTACCAATTCTGTAAGAAAAAAATTCTGGAAGTTCTAGATACGTCACTGACTGTGAATATGAGCCATAGTCTAACCAGGTTTCGGTTAGTTCCTAGAAATAAAAAGCAGCGGCGGCAGCTCTGTGTAAGGACTCTTTACTGAAAGATATATACAAGTTCAAATATATGTTCATGTCTGTAAGATGCTTCTAATAAAACATATGGAATGTCTTTTACAAGCTTCAGATGTCTTTATTTAGTCTAGATCAGCCATTGTGCACCCTGTTAGCTTAGCACTAACAAACCATTGGAAATTCTGTAGGGACATGCAGTTTTTGTGGGGACAGAGTATTTTTGTTCTCTGATCTCTTTTTTTTACCTGGTTTCAACATTTATGGCCCGAACTGAAGGGCTTGCTCTAATAGTCTCGGTTCTCCGCCGCCTTCTACATATTTTTCCTCTGATTTCTTCTTATCCCCACTGTCTCTCACCCTAATGCCATCCTCACACTCACCCTTATAATATAGACTCATTATTCCTCTTTTCCAGGATTTTAAGTGTTTTATTTCTGAAAGACAAGAGAAGTTTTGGTTTTTCTACCCCAGCCATAGCTGGCACCCCCAAAATGGAAGCAGGGAGAGTGGGGCACAACCTAACACATTATTACTGCAAAATAATTTTAACAGTATTTAAGTTGGAATAATTATGTTTTCATGCTAGCAACTTATACATCTCTGCTACAAACGAACACTTGGACTTTGTTTCTAGCTCCTACCGTTCAGGTACAACTCCACCCGAAATGACGGGAAGTGCAGTGTTGCAGTTTAGCCCATGGATGGGTTCACTGTAACAGACAGAGGGTCAGTTTAACACTCGCTAGTCTGATGAATCAGTGCAAACAAAGTTAATTCAGTATGATTCTATGTTGTAAGAAATAAATATATTTTCCAACCAAACTGCATTATATGTGATCATACGACAGACACATGACATTTTAAATGAAATCTGATATGAGACTGTGTGTCACACCATGACAGGTTTATTTTTGTGATGGATAACAAATAAATACATCATATATCCGTAAAATATGAATCATTGTTTCGGAATAACTACAGCAAGATTTTGCTGCAAAGATACTAATAAAGTAGAAGAAAATCTCTGTTTTCAGATGTTTGCTCTTTTTCATCGTAAAATCTGTGTAAACATATGGAACAAAAAGACAAAATTGACTGGATCTGTCTTTGTTTACTAAAGGTGGCTTAGTTGCAATTGCGTGTAAGAACTAACCCCGCAGAACGGAGGCTGTACTTAAGCTTGACTAGCACTTGCTGTGAGCTTGTCAGCTGCTTCAAAAGGTTCTACATTGTCGGCAACCAGATGATGATTAAAGTGATATAACTTGGATTTTGTGATTTACACAAAAAACTCAGTAACCCAAAAAAACATATTGAGATAAAATGATTTACATGCCCTGAAAACACACAGATCTCTTCTAAACGCTGATGAATCTCTCTGAATTTTGCTGGGAAATCGTGGCTAGGAAATGTGGTAATGTGACCAGAAGCACCTGCTGCTTGACCTTCTTTAACCGTGTAAAAAGTCT